CTTATTGCGAAATAGGAGCACTATTTATCAATCTGTAATAAAAGACGTGAGAAAATTCTGTCTTTTTTAAAGACAAAAATTTTTGAGGCAAAATATTCAAAAAGAAGTTTGTAAAAAAACAATAGAATTACACTACGCCACTGGCGATTTTTACGAATTATTAAATTTTGCGCAACCTTATGGGCCGAAAACCCCACCTGAAATTGCCTTTGGTTTTCAAACGAATTTTCCAAAAAATGCCTGTTAAATCCACTTTGAAGTTGCCATTCTGAAGGTTTTAAAGCCGTTCGGCCGAAAAGTCGATTTTGTCCCAAATCCGTGAGAGATACGAAAAACTACCAAGAGACCGATTTTGTAGCCAATCGAATCCTCCATCCGAGTGGTGCCTACTTGTTCTAAAATGGAATTGAACATCGATGGACCCTCTTAGGTACGCCACTGGAAATTTCCGAGTTTTGCGATTGTCGTTGTGGGTTTTACTGCAGAGCATCTTAACTTTTCTGCTGAAATTTTTACTGAAAGAGGTGAAGAACTGAGTTGGAGTCACTTAAACGCGCGTTTTTGTGCCGGAACACGCCATCGTAAATTTCGATTTTAACAAAAGTCGGTACGGAAAAGAGTTTTTAACAGCACTGTATTTAGCCAATTGAATTTCTCGTCCGAAAAGTGAATGGAAATGCAAATTTTGCACGCCAACTAGTTTTAAAGTTCAACCAAACCGTCATGTACTCCCCAGCTACGCCACTGGCAACTGCCGAGCAGGTTTAAAAATCCCCTGCAACTTTGTGGTTGGCTCAAATTTTCACACTAAATTCCTTTTGACATTGACAAAAAGTTTCTAAAAAATTCCTGTTTAGAGCGCTTTTAAGCGGCGTTTCTGAAGGTTTTAATGCCATTTGCCAGGAAAAGCTATTTTGTAACCATAGCATAGTAAAATCTATGTACTTTCCCAGTTACGCCACTGGCAATTTTGGAAAAGTTTCTCTTTTTTTCAATGTTGTCATTTGCTGGAAACCCACACGCTTTGGATTTGGGAATTTTTCCAAAAAAATGCCTATTAAAAGTACTGGAAAGTTGCATTTTCAAACCTGCTCTGGGCCTTCCACAAAAAAAGCCATTTTACCGAAAAACTGTAAGATGCAAGAAAAAACACCAAGAGATCGGTTTTGTAGCCAATGAAATACTTCATTGGAGCACTGGAGAAAAACGTTTGTGTTTCTAGGCCTATTTGTTTTAAATTTAAATACAACATTTATGGTTATTTGTAGCTACGCCACTGGCTATTTTTGGAAAATTTTCGAATTTTCTTAAAGTCTGTGTTTGTCTTGGAACGTCCAGGTAAAGTTCTAAAAAAAAACTTAAGCACTTATATCAGTCTTTAGTCACTTAAACCCTCGGTTTCACAGTGGCTGAGCAAACCCAATCTAAATTTCTCTTTTGCAAGAAAATCGTGCAAAATACGGGAAAACATCAAGAGCACTTTTTCGCAGCCAATAAAATTGTGGTTCGCAAAAGTGAGACCAAACCATAGGTTTTCCACGTCTACTGATTACAAAATGCCATCAAATATCAATGTACTCTACTATCTACGCCACTGATATTTTGGGAAAGTTTTCAGACTGTCTTCAAATGCAGTGATTTGCTAAACTTCCGGTTAACATGATCTATAGGTTTAAGGGAAATTGTGCAAAACAGTGACTGCAAAAGACACTTTTAGTCGGTATTTTGGCCAATGGACAGAAAAATCGATTTTTCCGAAAAAGGGCAAAAAATAGGCAAAAATACCAAAGGCCCGATTTTCTAGCCAATGAAATGCCTCGTGCGGCCACTGAAGAAAAATATTGTTAATTTCACTCCTGCTAGTTTTAAAGTAAAATTCAACAGTTATGTAACTTTGAGCTACTCCACTGGACTTTTTTCCAAAGATTTTCGAATTTTCCTAAAATCTGTGTATAGACTGAAACATCCGCGCAAAATTCCTTGTATTCCTGAACTTATTTTCGCGGAAAGTATACAAAAACAGTCACTTGAACTCACACTTTCAGAGCTGTTGAGGAAGCCCAACCAAAATTTGCAATATGCCTAAAAACCGTGGAAAATAAGCACTTTTTGGTAGCCAATAAATTTTGATTTGAGCAAGTCGGACAAAAGCAAATGAGCTTAAAATATAAAACTTCCACATAAAAGCCTTTATGGGTTTGAAGTGAATTTTTCAAAAAAATGATAGTAAAACTCACTTTCCGGTCCGATTTTCAAAGCTGTGGTGACCATTTGACAGGAAAAACGAGTTTGGCAAGAAACAGTGAGTTATACGAAAAAACACCAAGAGGGCAATTTTGGAGCCAATCAAACGCTTCAACCAACACGTGGACAAAAACGTGGGCTTTTCACACCTGCCAGTTTTAAACTTGATATCAACATTCATATACCGTTTTGGCTACGCCACTGGCAATTATTGGGAATTTTGAAATTTTCTCAATTTCTGTGTATCTGGAATACTTCGGTGCAAAAGTTCAGTTCTGGTAAAAGGAAAAAATTAAAGCAGGATTTTCTAAGCCGTTGTGACAGCTCGACCTAGATTTTCATTTGGCCAAGAAAGTGGGCAAAATCGAAGAAAATATCCAGAGCACTTTTTTGCAGCAAATCGATCCCTTTTTCATAAAAGAATAAAGAACTGCTTTTTTCTCTACACCTACTACTTGCAAAATTCAATTCAATCTAGCGTACTTTCCTAACTACGCCACTGGCAATTTTGGCCAAGTTTTCAGACTTTATTTAAATCCAGCAATTTTCCAGACTGCCACTGGCAGTATTCTTTAGTTTTAGAGACAATTTCACAAAAAAATGCTTACAAAAGACACTTTTAGTCGATAGTTTCGAGGGTGTTGCGGCCAATTGACAGAAAAATCGGTTTTGCCGAAAAACAGTGAAAAATAGTAAAACTTCCCAGAAGCCAATCGAACTCCTGATCCTATAAATGAGATAAAACATAATTTTTCTACGCCTACTAGTTTTAAACTGGAAAACAACATTTATCACCTATTTTCGGCCACGCCACTGAACATTTTTGGGGAGTTTTCCAATATTTATCAATCACGTGTGTTTCCTAGAACGGCGACGCAAAACGATTTTTGAAACAGCTTCTTGAAAAAACTCTATGGAAGTTGAACGTGTTTAAACCTCACATGGAAACTGTCCGGACAAGCCAATTTAGATATCGATTTTGGCAAAAAACCTAGCGAAATTGAGAAAAACATCAAGAGCCTTTTTTTGCCCATAAAATAGTTGTTCAAAAAAGTCAAAAAAATGTCCAATGAGCTGCGGCAACTAATGGAAAAATCATTTGATATGTCTAAGAAACTGGCCAGGGCTTCCTGATACGATTTCCAAAAACACTGTCACATAATGAACCGCTCAAACATTCAGAGGCGTTTAAACTAAAAAATAATGACAAATTGAAACGGATCAGCGAGTTAGGAGCAGTGGAGTGCGCCCAAGATGATTAACCTAGCAAAACCCGGTGACCCTTAACTAACCCCCGATTAATCCAAGCTATAACCAAGCACTAATCATAGACAAACACACGCGCAAAAGACGGAAAAAACAGCAGAGCGCGACACACACTCAGCCCTCAAATCCATAAACTATTTACTATTTCATTCATTGATTCGATTGCCGATCAGAGGCGGAGCTTGAGGGGCTGCGCGCCCTCCCGCCTCTCCTTATCGCCCTTAGCCATAGAGCGGAAAATCGTTCTCAGCGCATCGCTGACTCCGCCCCCATCGAATCTGAGGCTTATCAGAGCGGCAACGCTATCAAACAGTTGTCTTCCAACTGTAAGATTATTCGGGCGAACCGGCAAACGCACAAAAGAGACGCGTTTCCTGCTTGGATCCAGACGCGTCGTGAGGTGTTGAGTGATTTTCCTGCTATTTTTTTTCGTTTGCTTCATCGACTTGAGGAAACGCTTAGTGTTAATGTGAGAGGCAGAATGACGCTAGAGCTGAGCTGCCACAATCCGATGCCGCTGGACTTTAGCAGCCAGAGGGAGAACAGCCGGAGTCCGGAGCTGAATGTCGCTGACTCAGCGCCGGGAAGTCCGGTGCCGACGGAAAATGGAGGCAGCAGCGCTTTTACCATTGTCACTCCCTCAGGACGGGCGAAAAGTGAGTTTTGAATCCCGCACTAAATGCAGCTGTTCTCCTCCAAGCTTTTTCAATTTTTCTTAAAACAATTGAGTTCAGAGATTAAAATGAAGCGCACGAGTTTTCCTTGACAAATTCAGACACAACGATTTAAAACCACGTTATTGTGGCTGTTGGTACAACCGCAAAGAAAAACGTTTCTTGCTGAAAAACGATGCAATTTAACAAAATACGTAAACAAAATTGGTTTTTCCGCGCGTACTAGAGTTACATTCAAATTCATTTTTAGGATATTATTCTGGGCTGCGCCACTGTTTTTTTTTTGGGAAACTTTATGACTTTTTGAAATCTCCGTGATTTTCTCTAACGCTTTCATGCAAATTTGCCTTTTAAAGCGATTTTACAAAAAATCCCCATTTCAAAGGGTGTTCAACCCGCACTTTTCAGCTGCGATTGCGACATAAAATTAATTTTTACCAAAAAACAGTGCAAATTAAAGAAAATACTAAGATAACTTTTTTGTAGGCAATCGAACTCTTTATTGGAGCAAACGACAAAACAKWGGGTTTTCTGCGCCTACTAGAGWTAAATGCAAATTTAATTTCCGKGTGCTATTCTAAGCTACGCCACTGGGTTTTTTGGGGAAATTTGMARTTTTTTGAAACCCCCTTGATTTCCTCKARCGCGTTCATGTAAATTTGCKTTTTAAAGCGATTTTACAAAAAAAAAAACCTTTGTTAGAGAKTTTTCAACGCGCMCTTTGCAGCTGCGCTGGCTACATAAAATTCAATTTTACCAAAAAACAGTGCAGATTAAGGAAAATACCAAGAGAACTTTTTTGTAGGCAATCGAAAAACGTTGCTTGCTGAAAAGCGTTAGAGTTAGTTACTAGAGTTAGATGCAAATCCAATTTCCGTGTACTATTCTGAGCTACGCCACTGGTTTTTTTGGGGAACTGCGATATTTTGAAATCCCCGTGATTTTCTCTAACGCTTTCATCTAAACTTGCCTTTTAAAGCGATTTTATAAAAAATCCCCTTGTTAAAGAGTGTTCAACGCGCACTTTGCAGCTGCGCTGGCCACATAAAATTTAATTTTACCAAAAAGCAGTGCAAATTAAGGAAAATACTAAGAAGACTTTTTTGTAGGCAATCGACCTTTTCATTGGAGCAAACGACAAAACATTGGGTTTTCTACGCCTWCTAGAGTTAAATGYAAATTCAATTTCCGTGTACTATATTTTGGGYTACGCCACTGGATTTTTTGGGAAACTGCGATTTTTTTAAATCCCCGTGATTTTCTCTAACGCTTTCATGGAAATTTGCCTTTTAAAGCAATTTTACAAAAAATCCCCTTGTTAAGCAGTGTTCAACCCGCACTTTGCAGTTGCGCTGGCCACATAAAATTTAATTTTACCAAAAAGCAGTGCAAATTAGGAAAAATACAAAGAGAACTTTTTTGTAGACAATCGAACTCTTTATTGGAGCAAACGACAAAAACATTGGTTTTTCTACGCCTACTACAGTTAAATGCAAATTCAATTCCGGGAACTTTTCTGGGCTGCGCCACTGGTTTTTTTTGAGAAATTTGCAATTTTTCRAAAGCCCCGTGCTTGGCTCTGACGYTTTCATGTAAATTTGCCTTTAAAACCRACTTTACAAAAAAACYRCTMGTGAAATACTGTTAAACYCGCACTTTGCTGCTGCCCCAGCATAAAAAATGATTTTAACCAAARACTGTGCAAATTAGGGAAAARTACTWWGCARWACTTTTTGTWGYTAATCGCATTGGTTTAAGGAAMTGTGAGCAAATAATCGMATTATTGCKCKYCTGCTAGTTTTAAAACTAAGTTCTACATCGATGTCCKCGCTTGACTACGCCACTGGAAATTTTGGAGAAGTTTTCGCATTTTTTCAAACTCTGCACGTGGATGATAACTTTCATGCAACGCAACTAAATTATGCTTCTGAAAAGAGCTTGATAAAAAATGTCTGAAAAAAGGACTTTTTAAACCGCGCTTTTGAGCTTGTTGTGACTAGTGGACAAAAAAGCATTTTGACAAAAACCAGTGAAATATATGAAAAAACGTCAAGAGAGTAATTTTGTAGTGAATCAAAATGTGAATCTGAAAAGTGGACAACACAACTGTTTGGTTTGCGCCTACCAGTCTCAAAATTGAACTGAACGTCAATGCTTCCTCTTGGACACGCCACTGGAAATATTGGAGGGTTTTTCGGATTCTTGTTGCAGCAATTGATGGGTGGAGAGATTTTGATAAAGCTTTGCTGCCTTTTTGGTCATTTTTTCCCTAAAATGTATAAAAAAGAAAATTGGCATTACGTTACGTAAACACGCGCTTTAAAAGCGGCTGGCACAAGCCGGCAGCAATAGCAATTCTTTTGCAAACGGTGCAACTGATCAAAAAACACCAAGAGGACGTTTCTGTAGCCAATCACATGCTTCATCGGGGCAGCAGGCGACAACGTTGCGTTTTCTCGCCTACTAGTGTTAAAAATGAATCCAACTTCCATAAACTATCCTAAGCTACGCCACTGCATTTTAACAGAGACCAGTGCAAAATTTAGCAAAATATCAAGGGGGCTTTTTTGTAGCTCAATCAATCAATTTCTCCTTCAGAAAACCTGCAAACAGCGCACTTTGTCACGCAGGCAGAATTTAAAAAAATATCATCACCACCCAGTTCCAGCGCAGTTTGGGGGCAGCGCCACAAACAAAACGACTTCACTAGAAAGCCGTGAGGAATTGCAGAAAACTGCAAGACACCTTTTTTGTAGCCAATCAAATTACCTTTCGGAGCAACGTTGGGAAACACCCCTGATCGCTGGCGATGATTTTTTAAAATTGAACGAAGCCCGGCCGTACCCTTTTGCACTTCATGATGACATCATGCTCGAATGAAATCAATAGGAAATCAATTATTAACTGGCCCCGACTGATTGCTTCATATCTTAGATGGCATCAAAACAAAGCCGCAAAGTATTTATTTCGTTTGATCGCCTAAACCGTACTAAGCCGCTTACATAGAATCTAGGATCCGCAGCTCTCTCCGACGATTTAACCGATCCTATAAGGATTTACCACTTTATTATTGATATCGGGATTTTGTGCCTTTATTTTCCCGAACAACATTTGCCGCAAATGAATAAACAATGATTCAGTCGCTGATCCGTCGAAGATTTCCAACGAGGTCGTAACAGGCCCGCATCCACTCCGCTCCGTCCATCAGCATCGATCAGCTCCAGCGCTGTGGCTGTAGCTGATAATGCAATTAGGTTGTGACCGCAGTGCTTGTTGCCGCGATTACAAAAATGATAAATGAAGAGATAAACCGGCGAGCGCGCAATAATTTGATTTCGATATCGAATTCCCTTTGAAGTGCTCAGCGCTCAACTGGATTGTTCAGCTAATTGAAATTGACGAAAAAATAATTAGTTTTCCACCAGAAAAGGGGGGGCTGGAAAGCTCATGCATTTGGCATTAGTTTCCAGCTGCACCCCGTAACTTAGCCAACCAAGCTCTAAACGCGTTGGTTGGCGCAGCCTACCCATTGCCATGACAACCCAAACAACTATCACCATCTACCAGGGCGGGGCGAAAAATTCCAGCAGCAAACACTCACAAATCATGCCCAGATCATTGATCCTCACTGAGACAAATTAATCTAATTAAAGCGTTAAGTCAGTTTGGGGGCAATTCTTCGGGTTGACGATGACGAGGCACGAGGTCAATCACGAGCCATTGCGGCCTAATTGCCGAAAATATGCTGATGCCTTTGGCGGCTCGAATGCCTCAATTGGGGCCTTTTTTCCTCTAGCCGGTGCCTCAATTGGCCTAATCCCAAGACTGTTCCAGCTGCCAGTCTGGATTGTGCAACTTCAGCTTCAAAGGGTTGTGTTGACCCGAATGGACCCGATGGACTGTTGAAAATCTCGGCACTTATTGAAGCACGGGTTTAAGGCACGAAAACGTTTAACTTCTCCAAAAGCCCCAGCGATTTTGGAAAAGTCTTCACAGGGTGTCTGGATTATCGGGGCTCGATTCACTGAATCACGCAACCTTAGGTTCCATATCGTCCAGCTGTCCAAACTAGATGTGCTAGAGGGTTGACATTTGCAGCTCTTATTTATGAATTATTGGTCAATATTTGGCAAAAAGTTGAACTGAATTGAGGATTTGGACTGATTTTTCCATACTCTTAAACTTGCGGTCCAAATCGCAAGAGCTGTTCACCCTGCAAGTGCAGATTCAAAAGTCCCAGCTGCTCAAACCGAAAGCGATCGACGGCTCCAATGTTCACCCTCTTTGGCTGAAGTGTCGCTTAACAAATGAAGAAAAGTTAAACTCGATTGAAGATCCGGAAGAATTTTGGCGCACTCTTGAATCCGCTTGTTTAACCTCCATCAGGCAAATGAAGATTGAAAAGGCGCTGTTGCCCACACTAAACCCGATATAGGGCTGAATTTTTCAGCCTCTTTGGCTACAACCTGGGTTAATAGCCAGACAAAAGTTTTACTCAATTGAAGATCTGGAAGACATTTTTCTGCACTTTTAAGACAGCTTTTTGAGTCAAACAAATGTCACAGAATGCAAGTGAACATGCTGCTGCGCAGATCAGAGCCTGCAGAGGGTTGAACTTTGTATAATTTCTCTTGAAAATGTTGGCTAATAAATGTACAACAATTTAGCTCAATTGAAGCTCTGCAAGATTTAATTCCGTCCTCTAAAAGTTGCTCAATTTTAAGAGGACTTTTGGGCTTGAAGTTGAAATTCTTAGCTTGCAAGTGAAGACTTAGTTAGTGCTGGAACCCAAACCAGTGCCTCTAGAGAGTTGCAATTTTAACACTGTTTAGCTGAACTATTGGCTAATAACTCAGGAAAAGTTCAACTTAATTGAGGACGCAGAAGACTTTATTCCACACTCTTGAAATTGATCTTCTATCCCGCGTCAGTCCCATCCATGCAAGTAAATATTCCAAAGGCGCGGCTGCCCAAACCAAAGCACTTAGAAAGTTGAAATATTTGATTTTAATTTAAAAAAAGTGGGTGACACAAACCGAAGAAAAGTTACACTTAAAATCTTAAACGAAGCCTAAGTAGATTTTTTCCACACTATTGCACTTGCGGTTTGAACCATGCAACTTTTAAACATGCATTCGAAGATCCGAACGGCGCTGTTGCAAAAACCAGAGCAACTAGAGCGTTAAAATTTTTAGTTTGAAATGGAAAAAAAGTGTGTAATTATCCGAGAAAACCTTAACCCAACTTAAACAAAGCTTAAGAAGGGTTTGTTGCATATCGTTGAATCTACGCTTTAAAGCATGTAGCATGTAGCTCTCTACTATACAGTCTAAGGTTCAAAATCCGCTGTTGCCAAAACCACAGCCTCCAGTCGATTGCAGTTTTCACTCTTTATGGCCAAAATACGGCTGAATAATGAAGGAAAAACCGAGTTCGAACAAACAGTGGCAAGAGTGTTTTCCGCACTCTTGAACTTGCAGTGTACAGCATGCAAAATTCAACCTTACAGACGGAGATTGAAAAACCGCTGTTGGAAAAACCAGAACAACTAAAGAGTTGAAACATTTAAGTTGAATTGGAAAAAGTTGTCCGAATATCAAAGAAAAAGTTGAACTCAAACTAAGTACGAAACGATTTTTTTTCCACACTATTAAACTTAAGGTTTAAACCATGTAACTCTCTACTGTACAAGCAAAGATTCAAAATCCGCTGTTGCCAAAACCACAGCCTCCAGTGGATTGCAGTTTTCACTCTTTATGGCTAAAATATGGCTGAATAGTGGAGAAAAAATCGAATTCGAACAAACAGTAACTGGAGTTTGTTCCGCACTCTTGAACTTGCAGTGTAAAGCATGCAAAATTCAACCATACAGACAATGATAGAAAATCCGCTGTTGCAAAAACTAGAGCAACTAGAGGGATCAAATATTTAATTGGTATTAAAGAAAGGTCGTTGTATATCCTGGAAAAAGTTGAATTCAAACAAAGTATGAGAATATTTTTTTTTCACACTTTTAAACTTAAGGTGTAAACCATGTAACTCTCTACTATACAAGCCAAGATTCAAAATACGCTGTTGCCAAAACCACAGCCTCCAGTGGATTGCAGTTTTCACTCTTTATGGCTAAGATATGGCTGAATAGTGGAGAAAAAATCGAATTCGAACAAACAGTGACTAGAGTTTGTTCCGCACTCTTGAACTTGCAGTGTAAAGCATGCAAAATTCAACCCTACAGACAAAGATGGAAAAACCGCTGTTGTGAAAACCAGAGCAACTAGAGGGATACAATATTTAATTGGAATTGCTGAACGGTCGTTGCATATCCTGGAAAAAGTTGAACTCAAACAAAGTATAGGAAGATTTTTTTTCCACACTATTAAACTTAAGGTTTAAATCATGTAACTCTCTACTATACAAGCAAAGATTCAAAATACGCTGTTGCCAAAACCACAGCCTCCAGTGGATTGRAGTTTTTACTYTTTATMGCCAAAATACGGCTGAATAATTGGAAAACATCGAATTCGAACAAACAGTGACAAGAGTTTGTTCCGTACTCTTGAACTTGCAGTGTAAAGCATGCAAAATTCAACCAGACAGACAAAGATGGAAAAACCGCTCTTTCAAAAACCGGAGCAACTAGAGAGTTAAAATATTTAATTGGAATGGCCGAAAGATCTTTGCATATCTTGGAAAAAGTTGAACTCAAACAAAGCATGAGAATATTTTTTTCCACACTATTAAAATTAAGGTTTAAACCATGTAACTCTCTACTATACAAGCAAAGATTGAAAATCCGCTGTTGCCAAAACCACAGCCTCCAGTGGATTGGAGTTTTCACGCTTTATGGCCAAAATATGGCTGAATTATTGAGAAAAAATCGAATYCGAACAAACAGTGACAAGAGTTTGTTCCGCACTCTTGAACTTGCAGTGTAAAGCATGCAAAATTCAACCATAGGGACAAAGACGAAAAAACCGCTGCTGCAAAAACCAGCGCAGCTAGAGGGTTGAAATATTTAATGGGAATTGCCAAAAGGTCGTTGCATATCTTAGAAAAAGTTGAACTCAAACAAAGCATGAGAAGATTTTTTTCCACACTATTAAAATTAAGGTTTAAACCATGTAACCCTCTACTATGCAAGCAAAGATTCAAAACCACAGCTTTCAGTGGATTGCAGTTTTCACTCTTTATGTCCCAAATACGGCTGAATAATGGAGAAAAAATCGATTTTAGGCAAACAGTGGCAAGAGTTTTTTCCGCACTCTTGAACTTGCAGTGTAAAGCATTCAAGCAGTTACCCAAACCAGAGCCGCCAGAGAGATCGGATTTTCATCATATTTAGGGGGCAAATATTGTCCACTAAAGCCCCCAAGAGTTGAACTGAAAAACAGGATTTTTTCCAGGCCTTTTGCGTGCATTTCCAGATGGGCAAATCCGTAAAATCTTGGCTCAGCTACCGGATATTTTGTACGTCACACCCGACCAGGCTTTATTGGCAGTCTCATGGCACATAAAACTTTGCTTCGGAAATCTTTCACACCGCCGGAAAGAGCGAAACTCCGGAAATCTATATAACAAATCCAATAAACGAACGGCTCCGCTTTACAGGAACGAAGTCCTGCGGGAATGCTCCCTGACGCCAAATCATAATTAGGACGTGAAAATCAAATAAAGCTGGACGAGATGAAAAAAACTGAGCCCACGAATCCGGCCGAAATCCCAAATCACTTCGGCTTTCAGTAGCCGAAAGATGTACCTACATGTGGGCAACACAAGTACTTGCATGACGTAACTCGAAACCTCTTCGACAAAAACAATTAGAAATCATCTTCAATGTTGAATGTACGTCATCGGCGGAGGAAATGCTACTTAACTTTTTGCCCGCTTTTAATTGTTCGGGCCTGAAATGTGGCCTTAATGAACTGGAATCAGGAAGAGACTTGTCACGCATCTGCAAAGGCAGCTTTTTGCATTTTCCCAGTGCAGACAAATGCACATCGCACAGTTGAACACCGATTTTCCAGTTTCGCACTCAATCGATACGAATTGAGGCCCATATAGAGCGGATTGTGCACGCCCGACCAATCAATTGATTAGAACGGCTCAAAGCAAAGCAGGCTCTGCGGCTACAATAAAAATGCCGGATATTACATGTTTATCGGTTGATCCAATATTGACAAAAGGCGGTCAATTTTATACTCGATGCGACAATATTGACGCAGTTCCATTCGATTGGTCGGTAATTTCGATATCAAATAGAGAGCAAACAACGGCCTCCATGTTCCCCGTTGCCCGGGCACGTTTCGATTCCAGTCGGGCCGTCCTGCATCAGGCCCTGTTGCGCAAACTACACAATGGGCCCATAAACCAATAAAAGACTTAGCCGCGTTTTCCTAGTATTTAAAACAAACGCCGATATCAGCACATGTTTTACGGCCCAGGTTTCGATTTTGAGGCCGCTTAATGCCAGTTGTAAATCTTAGTTTACTGCTGCCCTATTCGGATTAAGACGAGGCAATTAAGCAACTTGCCAGCTTTTGCTGCCAAAGTTTCCATAACGCTTATCTGTCGTTTTGCATGTTTTACACCCAGAACAAACACGCAGCATTTTCAAATCAAGATAGTTTGCTCGGTTTCGGGCCGATTTTGACGATTCAAAAACCAGGTTGTAGAGAATTTTGCCAAACCCCCCCGCTATAGTCGGATTATAAGGAGAAAAGCGCACAACAAAACTCTGCAGGAAAAGGCGCATGAATTTGGATATTCATCAAGAGGGCTTTTCGGACCAGAAAACCCCACGGAAGATCACTATTAACTTGAAACTGCTGTTTTCAAAGTTGCTTTGAACCCACCAGACATTTTCCAAAATTTCCAAAATCACACGAGTTACCAGGCAAAGTGCGCCGTTGGAAGTGCGGCAACAGCTCAGAAATCCCCAACCCTCCGTTGCCAGCTCGTTTGCAGGAAAACGCGTGCAAGTTTCAAAGTATATCAAGAGAGCTTTTTTCCTCAAAAACCCCCATATAATCACACAGAGCTGCCCCCGATCTGAAATGTTGCCTCCATATCGCGTCAAAGCTAAATAACTCTAACTAAACACCACTCAAATGGGCCCGTTTTACAAGAAAAAGTGCCACCAAAAGCAAAAAACTGGTAACTGATACTTTCACCATATGTTTGCTTGGTGGTCGATTAATAAAGCGTAACAGATACTTTCAGATTTTTTTCCTTTCTCCCACATCTGGGCCGTGGAAGATTTATCCGCACTATTAAACGCTCGACTTTCGAAAAAAAACTACAATTTATTGAGTAAATCACTGAAAACAAATGGCAGCAGACATAATCGATCACAGTGACCGGACCTGCAATCGATAGACCCCACTTTAATCAAATGCAACTTCTTATTTTGGCATTGTTTCAGATTATGAGCGCAGTTCGGCATCGCCGCCCCAGTTTCACACCACCCCCGGCTTTCAGAGCTACTGTCGCTCCCTTTGGGGGGCGACGACGTTGCCGATGCCACGCTACCTTTCCACGCTTGCGCAAGCCGCCACTGAGTCCTCCAAAAACAAGTCGCCAGGTAACTTCATTTATTTCCGGGCCAAAATGACAATGACACAGTGCAGTGTCAATGTCATAGGTCAAATGTCAAATTTTCGCTGTATGTGGATTGTGATTGAAGTCAAAATTGCCCTGTTTTTATCAATAGTCAAACTATGTCTAGCAAAGGGCTTTAAAAGTGAGTTTTTCTATATTTTCAAATTTCAAACTACTCTCAACAAAAGATCCTTACTGATGCGAAGTTCAATTTTTGATCATTTTGTAGAAGAACGCTGCACGTTTAAGGGTGGAAGTTTTTGAACAGTTTACGAAAGTTGGCGATTTCTGGCAACTGTTTATAAAACACCGTGCAAACCTGGTTGTTCTCAACTGCTCTATATGCCACTTTTCATATTGCGGGCACCAAAGAACCATAAGAGCTAAAGTTTTGGATTTTACGTCCATGTGTAGAGAAAATCGTGTGGTATAAGACAGGAAGCTTGGAAGTTGACTGGAGAGGTTGGGGCATTTTTGACAATTTTTCAAAGGAGCCTCATAGATATTGATGTTTTGAGCGGTTTAGAAGACGAATTTTGAAATTTCTTTTCCTAGGAGAAGAGATGAAAACTTAAACCTTAAACCGGTGCGTAGAGAAATTATTTGTGTCCACGTGCTGAAATTTTCAAATTGAATGGATGATTGTGTCCTTTTTGGCAATTTTTCAAAGTTGCCTGATGGAAATGTGTTTTTTCAACGGTTTTGGACGCCAATTTTCAATTCGCCTTTGCAAAAGCGTTTTAAGAGCTACCTGTTTAAGTTTTTCATCGGGTGTATAGAGAAAAGGATGGTGATTATGACTGGAAAATTTCAAAATAATGCAAAATCATGGAAAATTTTTACAATTTTTAAACCGAGCTTTACATATGTGCGCCTACAACGGTTTCGAAGGCCACTTTTCCATTGCTGTTCGGATTATGCAAAGCCTGAACGTTTTAGTTGTCTTCATTGTGGAGGGAAAAGGTTAGTGTTTATGCACAAAAAATTTCAAATTTATCGGAAATTTTGGGAATTTTGGATGATTTTTCAAAACGAGTTTTAAACAGGTGCGGCTTCAGGGTTTTTTCCACGTTGCCTTCGGTGTGTTTTGGCGGTTTTGTAGGTCATTTTTCACATTTACGTAACAAACAGGGTTGAAAAGCTGAAAGTTTTTGGCTTCAGACCACAGCGTATAGGAGTTGTTCGTGTGCAGAACTGTAAACTTGCAAATTCATCCAAAAGTTCGAATTTGTAGCGATTTATCAAAGACGCCATATAAGAATGGGTGTCTTTGACGGTTTTGGAGGGCATATTTCAAATGTACTTTACAAGTGCACTTTTATAGCTGAAAGTCAATTTTAGACCAGCTTCGTAAGCCAACTCTTCGTCCGCAAAAGACAAAATTTGCAAATTGGTGGAAAAGTGAGGAAATTTGTGGCGATTCTTTAAAGACGGCTCATAAGAATGCGTGTTCAACGGTTTTGGAGACAACTTTTCAAAGTTATTTTACAAACGCGTTTGAACAGTTTGGAAGTTTTAGTTTTCAGCCGCTGTGTAGATCAGTATTTGGGATGCAAAACCAGTAATTTGTGGATTGATACAATTAAATTTAAATTTATGGCGATTTTTCAAAGAAATAGTTTAAGGATGTGCGACTTCAACGGTTTTCGGAGGGCATTTTTCAACTTTATTTTGCAAAAGAGCTTGTAGAGTTTGAAGTTTTAGTTTCAGGCCTCTGAATACTGCAGTAATTACAAATACTTCTTCTCCTGGTTTTTGGGGAATTTTTATATGCACTCAAGTGCTTGCTTCAATTAGTTGCTTTGAAAACTGATTTTCAAGAAATAATTTCTCACAAACTAGCCTAGATGGAAAAGTGCATAAAACTCTTCTGAAAAACCCAAAACGTTTGAAAAACCCAAAAAAAAAGGTGCTTTGCACGCCACTGAAAAGGGAAAACTTTCGTGTAATCCTACGAAAAACGTATTTGCAATAAATTTAATTTTCGTTTTTTTACAAATTTCTAAACACTCCATCTCCACAAAAATTCAGGTTACCAACTGACTATCCCAAGTAAGCACCTGAGAGTGTCGAAATAAAAAAAAAAACATTAAAACAACTGGATTTCCACGATCGTTTTGGCATAATTAGAAGAAAGTTTGCTGTTTTCCGTGGCATAAAAAGCATCTTTCTGTCGCGGTTGGATTTTCAGATATCATTTTTTGAAAATCAGGTTTCAAAGCGACTCTGTTAAGCTGAACCCTAAGTGTATAGAAATGCGTCAAAAATCGGGAAAATAGTAATTGCCATGCATTTTTTTACATTTTTAGTGCACTGCTTGCTCTTTTTAACACTGTGCAAAGAACTGTCCTATCGGCACTGGCTTTTGAGTAATTCATTTTTAAACATCAAGGTCCACAAAGTGACTATTTGATCTAAACAACTGAGTGTGTGGAAATTTGGAAAAACCTTAAAAAACCTTAAGCTAAAGCCAACAACGCCAACAACGCCAGAATTAGGGAGAATTTCGGCTTTCCAGTGGCGTACTAGGCGCTTTCCGGCCTCAACTGGGTTGTGATCAATTAATTTTTGAAATTCAGGTTGGAACGTGACTATGTCAAGCAAGTGAAGCAAGCACCCGTGTGTATAGAAAAATCGCCAGAAACTTACCCGTAGAAGCAATTGTAACCCCAAAATGACCACTTATGGCCCAAAATACACTCTTTTAAGTGGTGAACCCAGATTCCACATAAACACCCCGGTTTTAGAGAAAGAAATATTCAAAATCGATGTTATTCGCAAAAGACTTTGCAGCTCATTTGAAAAAAATCGTAAAAAATCTGAAAAAATGCTACTGCGGCGCGATTTTTGACAATAACAACAAACAAATCGCTCTTTCCAGTGGCGTACGGATCGCTTCTGTAGTTGGGCTGAGTGGCGAGCAATGAATTTTTGAAACTCCCTTTGCAAAGCGCGGTTAAATCAACCACACGCACCGGTGTTGCAAAAATTTGCCGGCCAACAGCAGGAGCAGCGATTGTAACGAAAATTGCAGAACCGATAAAAAAAAGTGTGCCCAATTGAGTGGGGGAACAAGCATCTTTCTAGCTGAGTTGTTTTTGGAAAAATGTTATCAACACTCAGGTTGCAATTAGGAAACATATGGGAAATCGGTTGTGTGAAGATTATTCAAAAATCAGTGAAGCCGGCAAAAAAATGATTGAAATTTAAACGGAAAACAGAAAAAGTGCGCCTTTTCCAGTGGTGGCGTAGGGTGGCTTCAAGATGATCCAGTTTTCGCAAAATTGATATTTGAAGTTCAGGTTGCAAAGCGACTTTACATGTCGCGTTCTTCGACTGCAAAACTTCAAATTTGCCAATTGATCGAAAAGTGAGGGCAAATAGCGATGACTGATGAGAAGGCGTGTTTGCAACTGTTTAGAAGGCAACTTTTTAAATTGCTGTTGCGAAACCATTGGAAAGGTTGGAAATTTGAATTTTATGCGCTCGTGTAAAGGACCGAGGATTGTGTAACACAGAAAATTGGAGAGTTAATTTTGGCGATTTTTAAAAACTTCCATACCCATTGATTATAGGCGGATTTCGATTGGGTCAATTTAGGTCCCTTCGGGGTACAGATGAGTAGATTTTGAAACGCAGAAACCGCCGGAATTTTTAAAATTAGAACCGTAAACTTGCAAATTTATCTACACAAGTGCGAATTTATAGCGATTTTTCAAAGACGCCATATGAGAATGTGTGCTTTTGGCGGTTTTGGAGGGCATATTTCAAATTCACTTTACAAGTGCACTTCAACAGCTGAAAGTCAATTTTAGACCAGCTTCGTAAGCCAACTAACTCTTCGTCCGCAAAAGACAAAACTTGCAAATTGGTGGAAAAGTGAGAAAATTTGTGGCGATTCTTTAAATACGCCTCATAAGAATGCGTGTTCAACGGTTTTGGAGACAACTTTTCAAAGTTATTTTACAAACGCGTTTGAACAGGTGGAAGTTTTAGTTTTCAGCCGCTGTGTAGATCAGTATTTGGGCTGCAAAACCAGTAATTTGTGGATGGATACAATGAAATTTAAATTTATGGCAATTTTTCAAAGACATAGTTTAAGGATGTGCGACTTCAACGGTTTTCGGAGGGCATTTTTCAACTTTATTTTGCAAAGGAGCTTGTGGAGTTGAAAGTTTTAGTTTCAAGCCTCTGAATACTGCAGTAATTACAAATACTTCTTCTGCTAGTTTTTTGGGAATTTTTATATGCACTCAAGTGCTTGGTTCAATTAGTTGCTTTGAAAACTGATTTTCAAGAAATAATTTCTCACAAACTAGCATAGAGGGAAAAGTGCATAAAACTCTTCTGAAAAAACCAAAACGTTTTTGGTATTAGTCCTGGAAAATTGACTGCAACGATCGGTTTTTCTCAATTTTTACGAATTTTTACATTTTCAGGTGTTTACTTGCACTTTGCAACCTCATTTTCAAAAAATAATTTCTCAAAATCCAGGTAATATGGAAAGGTGCTTTGCACGCCACTGAAAAGGGAAAACTTTCGTGTAATCCTACGAAAAATGTATTTGCAATAAATTAAATTTTCGTGTTTTTATAAATTTCTAAACATGGAGTGTTTAGGCCAACAGCAGGAGCAGCGATTGTAACGAAAATTGCAGAACCGATAAAAAAAAGTGTGCCCAATTGAGTGGGGGAGCAAGCATTTATCTAGCTGAGTTGTTTTTGGAAAAAAGTTATCAACACTCATGTTGCAGTTAGGAAACATATGGGAAATCGGCTGTGTGAAGATTATTCAAAAATCAGTGAAGCCGGCAAAAAAATGATTGAAATTTAAACGGAAAACAGAAAAAAGTGCGCTTTTTCCAGTGGTGGCGTAGGGTGGCTTCAAGATGATCCAGTTTTGGCAAAATTGATATTTTTTGAAGTTCAGGTTGCAAAGCGACTTTACATGTTGTCGCGTTCTTCATCTGCAACTGAAAATTAG